GATATGGTTTGGCTGTGTTCTCACCCAAAATCTCATCTTGAATTATAATCCCCAAAACCCCCACTTGTCAAGGGCAGGATTAGGTGGAGGTAATTGGATCATCATGCAGTTTCCCTCATGCTGTTCTTATGGCAGTGAGTGAGTCTCAAACAATCCGATCATTTTATAAAAGTCTGGCATTTCCCCTGCTTGCGTTCACTCCATCCTGGCACCCTGTGAAGAAGGTGCCTGTTTCTCCTTTGCCTTCCGCTATGATTGTTAAGTTTCCTGAATCCTCCTCAGCCATGTGGAACTGAGTCAATTAAGCCTCTCTCCTTTATAAATTACCCAGCCTCGGGTATTTCTTTATAGCAGTGTGAGAGTGGACTAACACCTTCTTTAAAAAACTGAATTTATGTATGTGTCTTTGTTTCAGCAGGCGAGCCTTATCCTAACACACCTTGGGTTCGGTCTCAGTACTTCTAGGTGGTAATAAGGACAGAGAGAATAGTCAAAGCAGCAGATTCTACAATTCCGTGTGCTTTCACATGGAACACCAGAAGAATATGCACCTGTCATTCCAAGTGTGAGATTCCTTCCAGGCAGCTATGTGAGTTGATTAGGCAGAGAGACAATGTAGATACAAGTTATTGTCTACACCAACTTTAACCAAGGTTGACAGAAGAAATAACAGATATGCTTAATTCCCAGTAGCTCTCTTACATGAGAAGACCAAAATCAACTGTCTTAAAATAATTCACATTCTTCACCTCCTAACCTTATTTTCTGGGACACAAACCCTACGCACTTGTCCCCAGTCTTCTCCCAAAGTGAAGCTAAGTGGTCAGGAACACCATTTTAAACAACTCTAGGAGGTGGCGTTCACATGAGTCTAATTGCTGTTTTTTCTGTATGATAATATTATTACCATTAAGGACCGCTTCCATTGTCAGGGATGTTGGGAAGTGGCTAAAAGCCTGAGGATTTCCTCTGAGAATTTAACTCTTTTTGGTGAAATATGTACTATATTCTTGACTTCCTTACTCTTGAGGGCAAAAGAATGCAAAATATTTTATAGTCCTGCCTGCCTTGTCTCTCTATTTTGTTTACCTCTCCTTAAAGTCTCACTGACCTGTACAGTATCTCATGAATTCACTAACTTCCCAACAGTCTGCTTCAGATATTAATCTTCATATATTTCTTCCTCTAATACAAAAGAAGTTCCATCTCAATTTTTCTTCTAATTAATATCTGCCTCACAAAACCTCTTTCTCTCAAATGGTGAAAGGCTGTTCCTTTTCCGACTTCTTTTTTAAATCTCTGAATGCAGCAGGATTCCTGACTAAGATGGCATTTTGTAACTCTTTCTGTTAGAATGCCCGTTCCCTGGCAGCTCTTTGCTGAGCATTTCTCTAGTGACCTCATGGTCTGTCTTGGGTTCCAGATATGTCAGAGATATCAGGAGCCTCACTAAATATGTTTGTTCTTCCTCTGCACAGGATTTACCACATTTCACAGTCCCACTGTCTTTTATAGGATCAAGAGACTAATTCTTACTGTGTGATTAGAAGCGATGTGTCATCCTGGGGCCAAGGCAGTTAACAAATAGTATGTCTTTTCCACTTTCTATTTGCTCCTTGGCTGTCCAGATAGAGAGGATCCAGGAGGAACTCAAGATCCTAGAAGAAAGCAGAGTCATGAGACAGAAAGAGCCCGAGTCCCTGAACCTTCAAATGGAAAGCCACCTATCAAACATCTCATTAGACTGTTAAGTGCAACAAATAAACTATTGTTGTTTTAAGCCATTGAGATTTGGGAGCAGGGTGGTGAAGGGGAGGGGAGAACATTGTCACCACATTGTAGCTTCACCTACCCTAATACGCTATGTAATTTTTCTTCAGTTATACCTGACTATCCTCTCACTGGGATGTTAGAAGTAATCATATGAACTTAATTAAATCACACAAAAGATAAATTTTAAACACTTTTTCTGAAATGTTTAACTCTAATAATTTCTGCTACTAATTTTTCTTAATAAGTTGTTATTCAGGTTATAGGCACCAATGCCTTCTCACTAAGTAGAGAGATTTAGAGATTTGGATGGTCTCAATTCTTAAGCAAATGCTTTGAGTTATAATGCACCTACATACAGAAAAGTACAAAAATCCTAAGTATATAGCTTCATGATTTTTCACAAAGTGAACACTCTTATATTCCCATCCCATCCCATGATCAAGAAATAAAATAATCTCCCTGCAAATACAACTTCCATAGATTAATATTGCCTGTACTTGAACTTTATATAAATGGAATCATATGTACTCTTATGTTACAGCTTTCCTTTGCTCAATAATACCTTCATGCTTATGACTGTTTCATGTAGTAGATTTGTTGACTTTCATTGCTGTCTAGTGTTCCAATTTAAGAATAAACCAAATTTGTTTAAGCATTCTTTTGCTGATGGATATTTTGGTCGTTCCTGTTTGGGAACTATTACAAATAATGTTGCTATGAGCATTCATACACGTTTCTTAGTGCACTTATGAATGTATCTCTGTTTGGTTTATACTGGGAGCAGAATCTCTGGGTCATGCAACATGCACATGTTCAGTTTTAGCAGGTACTGCCAAGCTATTTTTCAAAATGGTTGTACCAGTTTATACTTTCACTAATTGCTCCACACCCTAGCTAATTCCTCTTTTTTGTTTTTTGAGACAGTCTCATTCTGTCACCCAGGCTGGAGTGCACTGGCACAATCTTGGCTCTCCACCTCCCAGGTTCAAGCTCTCCTCCTGCCTCAACCTCCAGAGTAACTGGCACTACAGGCGCACACCACCACGCCCAGCTAATTTTTGTATATTTGGTAGAGGTAGGGTTTCGCCACGTTGCTCAGAATGGTCTCAACTCCTCTGCTCAGGTGATCCACCCGCCTCGGCCTCCCAAAGTGCTGGTATTACAGATGTGAGTCACCACACCCTGCCTAATTCTTGGTAGTGTTAACTTTTTAAATGTCAACCATTCTGAGAAGTGTGAGGTAGTATCCCCTTGTGGTTTTAAGTTCTATTTCCTCCCCACCTTTTTTTTTTTCCCAGAGTCTCGCTCTGTCACCCACCCTGGAGAGCAATGGTGTGATCTCAGCTCACTGCAACATCTGCTTCCTGGGTTCAAGTGATTCTCCCACCTTAGCCTCCCAAGTAGCTGGGATTACAGGCACATGTCACCACACCTGGCTAATTTTTTTGTATTTTTAGTAGAGATAGGGTTTCACCATGTTGGCCAAGCTGGTCTCGAACTCCTGACTTCAGATGATCCACCCGCCTTGGCCTCCCAAAGTGTTGGGATTACAGGCGTGAGCCACTGTGCCCGACCTAATTTATATTTCTCTTATTGCCAAGGAGCCTGGACACTTTTTCACATTTTATTGTCCATTTATGTAACTTTTGAGGGGCATATATGAAATGCCTGTCCCAATTTTTACCTCCTCTTAATATGGTCCTTTGATCAATGGAAGTTCTTAATTTTAGCGATGCTCAATTCATCAATATTTTCCTTTTTGATTAGCTCCTGGTTTAAGAAATCTTGGCCTATCCCAGGTCACAAAGCTATATGTTATCTTCTAGAAGTGTTACTGCTTTCATTTGCACAAGTATTGATTTTGTGTATTAATTTTCCATATGAATATCCAATTAATCTGGCACTATTTATTGAAAAGACCACCTTTTCCCTCACAAAACTACAGTGGTACCTTTGTCATATGCCAAAGGCGAGTTTGTTTTTGAGCTCTGTAGTATTTCATTGTCTGTCTTTCTATCCTTATGCCAATACCACATTGTCTAAATTACCACTTTAAAATAAGTCTTGGTATTCGGTGATAGAGGTTTTCTTAACCTTATTCTTTAAGACTTCCTTTTTATATGAGTTTCCATATAAATTTGAGAATTGGTTTGTCAAATTCCACAAAAAGTCCTGCTGGGATTTTTATTGGCATTGCATTGAGTCAACAGATTGATTTGAGGAGAACTGAAATCTTCCAATATTGTTATTATGAGCTGATTTCCTGTTTAGTAATTTTTAAAATTTTGTCTTGTTTCATAAACTGGGATATAAAGCTCAATGTTTATTCCTTTTATTTAATGCTGTATTCTGGAACTGAAGAATACTTGGCACATTGTGGGTTCTCAGTAAATATTTTTTGAAGCAGCAAATTAATATTCTACTGGGGTACCTATTTTGTCCTCCTCACCCCCTTTTCTTGACCAGTCCAGCTAATTCTTCAGATCTGAAATCATATGCTGTTTCCTCAGGGGATGGTCCTGGCCTGATCTCCCAGACAGAGTCAGGCTCCCCTGTTGTCTGTCCCTGTTTTGACATCCTCCATTGTTACATTCATACTGTTGCATAATAAAACATTATACAATAATTATATAATTATTTAATATCAGTCTTCCATCTGCAATGTAAGCTCCCTGAGAATGGGGACCAAGTCTGTCTTAATTTCTTACTCACTTCTGCACTCCTAGTATGTAGCTTATTACTGTGCACAAGGCAGGTGTTAACAAATATTATTAAATTACTTTCTAAAAGAGGCCTAGACCCCCTCTGCTGTTTCTTAAAAATGTTATTATATTGCCAACATTTTGCTACCCTAACATCAAAAATCTCTGTAGATGTTTTCGGCTGCTTTTATCCTCTGGCTTATTTAATGGATATTTTCTATCAGATTTTCTAGGGTGGGAAAGGGGGTTCTTCATGTCCCCCACCACCAGCCCAGATTGGCTGAATCGGCAGACTCAGTTCTAAGCCGAAGTCCTAAATTACAGCTGGAGAAGCTACACTGCTAACAAACTCTGCAGATAACTGCTGCACTGGCGAGTTTGGCACCCATTCTTTGGTAACGCTGCTCTGGGTCCAGATTCTCTCATCATTTCAGCCCATGCTGCGTTCTGCTTTTGCTCTCAAGGCTGCAATTTTTTCTTTGGCCACCTGCCCTTTAAGGACAGCTGGAAGGCCACCCCAGCTGCCTAGTTAAGAAGCTCATTAATCTCATCTTTATCTTCCTGGTCATGCTGACGAACCCAGCTTTACGGGCCACACATTGTCACAGCTCTCTGATCCAACTTCATAGACAGTGCAAAGGAAATAGCCCAAGATTTGAAATAAAGAAACCAGAATGCATCTGCACACAATTGTTTGCTATCTGTGTGACCTTGAAAATATTACTTAACTTTTCATTGCTTCAGGTATAATAATATCTGTCCTCCTTACCTCAGAGACGTGAGGATCAAATGACATGATGTATTATGCCAGAACTTTATAAACTGTAAGTGGATATATACATATTAATTATAAATAATAACCTCAGCCATCTTGCTCTTTGCATGACAGAGGGAACTATTTACACACTGACGTCTTTAACAAGAAAAGACAGTCTTCCTAGCACTGTCTTGTTCCTTCTTTTTTAAAAAAATTATTTATTATACTTCAAGTTCTGGGATACATGTGCAGAACGTGCAGGTTTGTTACATAGGTGTATAGGTACCATGGTGGTTTGCTGTACCCATCAACCTGTCATCGAGGTTTTTAGCCCCACATGCATTAGATATTTGTCCTAATGCTCTCCCTCCCCTTGCTCCTCACCCACCGACAGGCCCTGGTGTGTGATGTTCCACTCCCTGTGTCCATGTGTTCTCATTGTTCAACTCCCACTTGTGAGTGAGAATATATGGTGTTTGGTTTTCTGTTCCTGTGTTGGTTTGCTGAGAATGATGGTTTCCAGCTTCACCCGTGTCCCTGCAAAGGACACAAATTCATTCTTTTTTATGGCTGCATAGTATTCCATGGTGTATATGTGCCACATTTTCTTTACCCAGTCTAACATTGATGGGCATTTGGGTTGGTTCCAAGTCTTTGCTATTGTGAATAGTGCCTCAATAAACATATGTGTACATGTGTCTGTATAGTAGCATGATTTATAATCCTTTGGGTATATAACCAGTAATGGAATTGCTGGGTCAAATGGTATTTCTGGTTCTAGATCCTTGAGGAATCGCCACACTGTCTTCCAGAATGGTTGAGCTAATTTACACTCCCACCAACGGTGTAAAAGCGTTTCTATTTCTCCACATCGTCTCCAGCCTCTGTTGTTTCCTGACTTTTTAACTATCGCCATTCTAACTGACTTGAGATGGTATCTAATTGTAGTTTTAATTTGCATTTCTCTAATGATCAGTGATGATGAGCTCTTTTTCATACGTTAGTTGTCCACATAAATGTCTTCTTTTGAGAAACATCTGTTCATATCTTTCACCCACTTTTTTGTGGGGTTTTTTTCCTTGCAAATTTGTTTAAGTTCCTTGTAGATTTTAGATATTAGACTTTTGTCAGATGGATAGATTGCAAAAATTTTCTCTCATTCTGCAGGTTGCCTGTTCACTCTGATGATAGTTTCTTTTGTTGTGCAGAAACTCTTTAATTAGATTCCATTTGTCAATTTTGGCTTTTGTTGCCATTGCTTTTGGTATTTTAGTCACAATGTTTATGTTCTGAATGGTATTATCTAGGTTTTCTTCTAGGGTTTTTACGGTTTTAGGTTGTACGTTTAAGTCTTTAATACATCTTGAGTTAATTTTTATATAAGGTGTAAGGAAGGAGTACCATCTCAGTTTTGTGCATATGGCTAGCCTGTTTTCCCAGCACCATTTATTAAATAGAGAATCTATTCCCCATTGCTTGTTTTTGTCAGGTTTGTCAAAGATCAGATGGTTGTAGATGTGTGGTGTTATTTCTGAGGACTCTGTTCTGTTCTATTGGTCCATATATCTCTTTTGGTACCAGTAACATGCTGTTTTGGTCACTGTAACCTTGTAGTATAGTTTGAAGTGAGTTAGCATGATGCCTCCAGATTTGTTCTTTTTGCTCAGGGTTGTCTTGACTATGCACGCTCTTTTTTGGTTCCATACGAAATTTAAAGTAGTTTTTTGTAATTCTGTGAAGAAAGTCAATGGTAGCTTGATGAGAAAAGGATTGAATCTATAAATTACTTTGGGCAGTATGGCCATTTTCACGATATTGATTCTTCCTATCCATGAGCATGGAACGTTTTTCTATTTGTTTGTGTCCTCTCTTATTTCCTTGAGCAGTGGTTTGTAGTTCTCCTTGAAGAGGTCCTTCACATTCCTTGTAAGTTGTATTCCTAGGTATTTTATTTTCTTTGTAGCAATTGCAAATGGGAATTTACTCATGATTTGGCTCTCTGTTTGTCTGTTATTGGTGTATAGGAATGCTTGTGATTTTTGCACATTGATTTTGTTTCCTGATACTTTGCTGAAGTTGCTTATCACCTTAAGGAGTTTGGGGGCTGAAATGATGGGGTTTTCTAAACATATAATCATGTCATCTGCAAACAGAGACAATTTGACTTCCTCTCTTCCTATTTGAATACCCTTTATTTCTTTTGCTTGCTTGTTTGCCCTGGCCAGAATTTCCAATACTACATTGAGTTGGAGTGTTGAGAGAGGGCATCCTTGTCATGTGCCAGTTTTCAAAGGGAATGCTTCCAGCTTTTGCCCATTCAGTATAATATTGGATGTGGGTTTGTCATAAATAACTCTTATTATTTTGAGATATGTCCCATCAATACCTAGTTTACTGAGTGTTTTTAGCATGAAGAGGTATTGAATTTTGTCGAAGGCTTTTTCTGCATCTGTCGAGATAATCACGTGTTTTTTGCCATTGGTTCTTTTTCTGTGATGAATTACATTTATTGATTTGGGTATTTTGAACCAGCCTTGCATCCCAGGGATCAAGCTGCCTTGATCATGGTGGATAAGCTTTTTGATGTGCTACTGGATTTGGTTTGCCAGTATTTTACTGAGGATTTTCACATCAATGTTCGTTAGGGATACTGGCCTAAAATTCTTTTTTTTGTTGTATCTCTGCCAGGCTTTGGTATCAGGATGATGCTGGCCTCATAAAATGAGTTAGGGAGGATTCCCTCTTTTTCTATGGAATGGAATAGTTTCAGAAGGAATGGTACCAGTTCCTCTTTGTACTTCTGGTAGAATTTGGCTGTGAATCTGTCTGGTCCTGGAATTTTTTTTCTTGGTGGGCTATTAATTAGCACCTCAATTTCAGAACCTTTTATTGATCTACTCTGGGATTTCTTCCTGTTTAGTCTTGGGATGGTGTATGTATCCAGGAATTTATCCATTTCTTCTAGATTTTCTAGTTTATTTGCATAGAGATGTTTATAGTATTCTCTGATGGTAGTTTGTATTTCTGTGGAATTGGAGATGATATCCCCTTTTCAATTTTTATTGCATCTATTTGATTCTTCTCTCTTTTCTTCTTTATGAGTCTTGCTACCAGTCTATCTCTTTTGTTGATCTTTTCAAAAAACCAGTTCCTGGATTCATTGATCTTTTGAAGGGGTTTTTATGTCTCTATCTCCTTCAGTTCTGCTCTGATCTTAGTTATTTCTTGTCTTCTGCTAGCTTTTGAATTTGTTCTTTTAATTGTGATGTTAGGGTGTCGATTTTAGATCTTTCCTGCTTTCTCTTGTGGGCATTTAGTGCTATAAATTTCCCTCTACATACTGCTTAAAATGTGTCCCAGAGATTCCGGTACATTGTGTCTTTGTTCTCATTGGTTCCAAAGAACATCTTTATTTCTGCCTTCATTTTGCTATTCACCCAGTAGTCATTCCAGAGCAGGTTGTTCAGTTTCCATGTAGTTGTGCAGTTTTTAGTGAGTTTCTTAATCCTGAGTTCTAGTTTGATTGCACTGTGGTCTGAGACACAGTTTGTTGTGATTTCTATTCTTTTACATTTGCTGAAGAGTGTTTTACTTCCAATTATGTCATCAATTTTAGAAGTGTGATGTGGTGCTGAGAGGAATGTATATTCTGTTGATTTGGGGTGGAGAATTCTGTAGATGTCTATTAGGTCTGCTTGGTCCAGAGCTGAGTTCAAGTCCTGGATATCTTTGTTAAGCTTCTGTCTCGTTGATCTGTCTATTGACATTGGGATGTTAAAGTCTCCCATTATTATTGTGTGGGGGTCTAAGTCTCTTTGTAGGTCTCTAAGAATTTGCCTTATGAATCTGGGTGCTCCTGTATTGGGTGCATATATATTTAGGATAGTTAGCTCTTCTTGTTGAATTGATCCCTTTACCATTATGTAATGGCCTTCTTTGTCGCTTTTGATCTTTGTTGGCTTAAAGTCTATTTCATCAGAGACCAGGATTGCAACCCCTGCTTTTTTTTTGCTTTCCATTTGCTTGGCAGATCTTCCTCCATCCCTTTATTTTGAGCCTATGTGTGTCTTCACACATGAGATGAGTCTCCTGAATACAGCACACTGATGGGTCTTCACTCTTTATCCAATTTGCCAGTCTGTGTCTTTTAATTGGGGCATTTACCCATTTACGTTTAAGGTTAATATTGTTATGTGTGAATTTGATGGGTTTTGAATTTGGTGTGTTTTGATCTTCTTCCCCTTCTTGGTACTTGTCAGTTTCTGCAATAAATTCAGACATGGACAGATGCATTAAGCTGATTCCCCTACACACATAACAATCCACTGTCTAATCCTCACACAGGGACCTCAGGCTCCTCAGCATAAGAATAGGACACTGTGAGAGATATATTTCAGGAGGCCTGAAGGCTGGTCATGATAGAGATTCCTTGGTTTTTGTCCCAGATACTAAGGTAAAATGTCCCTATTCTGGTAGATCGTTATCCCAATATCATTTGTTCCAAGTTTGTGCAAACGGTTATGCCATATTTTTCCAATCAATTTAAAGCAAATGCCCTCAATGGTTTCTAGGAGAAAAATTGCAATCTTCAGCCCTTTCTCATCAAATACTCAGATTGTTCATGGTTGTGAGGATTTTTGACACTGAAATTAGAGTGAAAAAGGAAATCTACAAACCCTTGAGTCAAAATCATAGTTCTCTGAATTTGTGCATCTGCCCAAGTCCAATGTCTTGAGAGTAGAATCAGAGTGCCATGGGCATGGCCTGAGACTAGGAAGATAGCTATGCTCACTGACCCATCCCATGTCTGGGCTTCCACGTGGAACTAGAGTTTCATTGAACCTACATGTACCTATAGGTCCTCACTGTAGCAATGACATCTCTCAGCTCAGTAATGGCCACTTGGAGCAGGAATATGATCTCTATAAGGAAGACTCAGTGGATCCTTATCACCTTCATAGAAAGGTACTCACCGTCCACATCAAGAGAAAAGCCAATGTGTCATTCCTCCAATGAGTAAAAGGAATTTCCGTAGGACTGGCATGAATCTGGCAGTTCAAGATAACTGGAAGGAGTCAAATAATAACTATTCAGTGAGTCCTGCAAGACTTCAGGCTCTACTACCTCCAGCAGTTCCCTGCTGAGCCTGGAAAAGTAGAAAAAGTAAAGAATAAGCCAGGGAAAATCAGACACAACAGAGCCCCAACTAGATTTCATGGGTAGGATAAGGAAGTGGTTAAAAAAGAAAAAGGATAGATCCATTAATGAGGTAACAAATTATTGCCTTCATATTGGGACACTAAAGGGCCAAATGGAAAAGAATGAAAGAGAAAGACAGAGAGAGAGAGAGAGAGAGAGAGAGAGAGAGAGAGCTCAGTGAATTGTCCAGGTGATACACTGATGAGGGAGTAACAGGACACTCTGAGTTAGTGCCCTCAGGACACACAGTATACAGTGATCATGAAAAGACTGTGCTCAATAATTTTCCATAAAATGTGCTCAAGATTCCATGTAGTCACCATGAGAATACAGCTTTTGAAGTATGGTCGGCCTATAGTAGGTTTGTAAATGATAAGGGGAGAAAGAAATGGAAACCTAAATATCTATTGCAATGAAAACCAACAGCAATGTTAGTAGGAATAATTCAGGCTTGGTTGAAAAGATGTAATCGATATTGTCGGCCCGCTCTGTTTTCCCTGAACCAGGAATCTCCAAGTGTCAACACAGAATTAGCTGTTCACAATTGCTCAAAGTTACCTGGGGCATGGTGGGCCTTGGTCTTCTCCCTCTTCTTGGTCCTTTTTAATTCCTGCAACAAATTCAGACAGGGACAGACAAAATAAGCCAATTTACCTAACCCATAACAGTCCACTGTCTAATCCCCACACGGGGACCTCAGGCTCCTCAGCATGAGAACAGGACAATGTGAAAGATATACATCAGGAGGTCTGAAAGTCGGTCATGATAGAGATTCTTTGGTTTGCATTTCAGAACCCAGGGTGAAATATCCCTATTCTGGTAGATTGTTATCCCAAAATCATTTATCCCAAGTTTGTGCAAACAGTTATGCCTTATTGTTCCCATCAATTCAAAGAAAATGCCCCAGATGATTTCTAGGAGGAAAGCTGCAGTATCCAGCCCTGTCTCATCAAATACCCAGCTTGTTCATGGTTCCAAGAAACTGAAATTAGAATGAAGGAGGAAATCTACAAACCCTTGAGTCCAAATCATAGTTCTGTGAATTTCTTAAATCTGCCTGGGTCCAATGTGCTGACAGTGGGATCAGGTTGCCACAGGCATGGCTGGAGACTAGGAATAGAGCCATGCTCACTGACCCATTTCATGTCTGGGCTTCCAACTGAAACTACAGTTTCATTACAACCTATATGCGCCCATAGGTCCTGCCTGCGGCAATGACATCTCTCAGGTCAGTAAGGGCCACTTGGAAGAGGAATATCACCCCTATCTGGAAGGGGTGGAGCCTTATCTCCTTCATAGTAAGTTACTCACTGTCCACGTCAAGAGCCAAGCCAAGGTACTCTTCCTCCAATGAGTAAAAGGCACTTCTGTAGGGCTGGCATAAGTCAGGCAGTTCAAGATAACCAGGAGGAGTCGAATAACATCTATCCAGTGAGTCCTGTAAGACTTCAGCTCTTTCTCTTCCAGCAGCTCCCTGCTGAGCCTGGAAAAGGAGGAAAAAGTAAAGAATAAGCCAGGTGGAATCAGAAACCACACAGCCCCAGCTAGATTTCATGGGTAACATAAGGAAGTGTTTGAGAAGAAAAAGGACAGATCCATTAATGAGGTAACAAATTATTGCCTTTATGTTGGGATAGACCAGGACCAGGTAGAAAAGCATGAAAGAGAAACAGAGAGAGAAAGAAACACACACACACGCACACACACACAGAGACAGTGAGCTCAGTGAATTGGCCAGGTGACACACTGATAAGGGAGTCAAAGGACACTCTGCATTGGTGCCCTCAGGACACACAGTGAACAGTGATCATGAAAAGAGTGGGCTCAATAATTTTGCATAAAATGTGCTTAAGTTTCCCTGCAGTCACCATGAGAATACAGCTTTTGAGGTATGGTCAACCTTCACTAGGTTAGTAAATGATAAGGGCAGGAAGAAATGGAAACCTAAACATTTACTGTAATGAGAACCAAAAGCAATGTTAGTAGGTATAATTCAGACTTGTCTGACAAGATGAAATCATTATTTTCAGCATGTACTGTTTTCCCTGGACTTGGCGTCTCCAGGTGTCAACATCAAATTAACTGTCCACAATTTCTCAGACTCACCTCGGACCTGTTGCTTCTGTTGGTGATACCCAGGCAAACAGGGTCTGGAGTGGACCTCCAGCAAACTCCAACAGACCTGCAGCTGAGGGATCCACCTGTTAGAAGGAAAATTAACAAACAGAAAGGAATAGCATCAACATCAACAAAAGGACATCCACACCAAAACCACATCTGTAGGTCACCATCATCAAAGACCAAAATAGTGGATAAAACCACAAAGATGGGAGAAACCAGAGCAGAAAGGCTGAAAATTCCAAAAACCAGAAAGACTCTTCTCCTCCAAAGGAACACAACTCCTCACCAGCAAGGGAACAAAACTAGACGGAGAATTAGTTTGACAAGTTGACAGAAGTAGGCTTCAGAAAGTTGGTAATAACAAACTTCTCTGAGCTAAAGGAGGATATGCAAACCCATCGCAAGGAAACTGAAAACCTTGAAGAAAGGTTAGATGAATGGCTAACTAGAATAAACAGTGTAGAGAAGACCTGAAATGACCTGATAGAGCTGAAAGCTATGGCACAAGAACTTCATGACGCATGCACAAGCTTCAGTAGGTGATTTGGAAGAAAAGGTATCAGTGATTGAAGATCAAATTAATGAAATCAAGTGAAAAGAGAAGTTTAGAGAAAAAAGAGTAAAAAGAAATGAACAAAGCCTCCAAGAAATATGGGACTACATGATAAGACCAAATCTACGTTTGATTGGTGTACCTGAAAGTGACGGGGAGAATGGAACTAAGCTGGAAAACACTCTTCAGGATATTATCCAGGAGAACTTCCCCAACCTAGTAAGGCAGGCCAACATTCAAATTCAGGAAATACAGAGAATGCCACAAAGATACTCCTCAAGAAGAGCAACCCCAAGACACATAATTGTCAGATTCACCAATGTTGAAATTAAGGAAAAAATGCTAAGGGCAGCCAGAGAGAAAGGACAGGTTACCCACAAAGGGAAGCCCATCAGACTAACAGCCTATCTCTAGGTAGAAAGCCTACAAGCCAGAAGACAGTGGGGGCCAATAGTCAACATTCTTAAAGAAAAGAATTTTCAACCCAGAATTTCATATCCAGGCCCACCTTACAACAGCTCCTGAAGGAAGCACTAAACATGGAAAGGAACAACCGGTGCCAGCCACTACAAAAACATGTCAAATTGTAAAGACCATCGATGGTAGGAAGAAACTGCATCAACTAACAAGCAAAATAACCAACTAACATCATAATGACAGGATCAAATTCACACATAACAGTATTAACCTGAAATATAAATGGGCTAAATGTCCCAATTAAAAAACACAGACTGGCAAATTGGACAAAGAGTCAAGATCCATCAGTGTGCTGTATTCAGGAGATCCATCTCACAGGCAGAGACAAACATAGGCTCAAAATAAAGGGATGGAGGAAGATCTACCAAGCAAATGGAAAGCCAAAAAAAAAAAAAAAAAAAAAGCAGGGGTTGCAATCCTAGTCTCTGATAAAACAGACTTTAAACCATCAAAGATCAAAAGAGACAAAGAAGGCCATTACATAATGGTAAAGGGATCAATTCAACAAGAAGAGTTAACTATTCTAAATATATGTGCACCCAATACAGGAGCACCCAGATTCATAAAGCAAGTCCTTACAGACTTAGAAAGAGACTTAGACCCCCACACAATAATAATGGGAGAAGTTAACACCCCACTGTCAATATTAGACAGATCAATGGACAAAAGCTTAACAAGGATATCCAGGACTTGAACTCAGCTCTGCATTAAGCAGACCTAATAGACATCTACAGACCTCTCCACCCCAAATCAACAGAATATACATTCTTCTCAGAACCACATCACAATTATTCTAAAATTGACCACATAGTTGGAAGTAAAGCACTCCTCAGCAAATGTAAAAGAAGAAAAATCAGAACAAACTGTCTCTCAGACCACAGTGAAATAAAATTAGAACTCAGGATTAAGAAAGTCACTCAAAACTGCACAACTACATGGAAACTGAACAACCTGCTCTGGAATGACTACTGGGTAAATAACAAAATGAAGGCAGAAATAAAGATGTTCTCAGAAACCAATGGGAACAAAGACACAATGTATCAGAATCTCTGGGACACATTTAAAGCAGTGTGTAGAGGGAAATTTATAGCACTAAATGCCCACAAGAGAAAGCAGGAAAGATCTAAAATCGACACCCTAACATCACAATTAAAAGAACTAGAGAAGCAAGGCAAACAAATTCAAAAGCTAGCAGAAGACAAGAAATGACTAAGATGAAAGCAGAACTAAAGGAGATAGAGACACAAAAAAACCCTTCAAAAAAAATCAATGAATCCAGGAGCTGGTTTTCTGAAAAGATCAACAAGAAAACCCTGTTTGGCTAGTTCATCTGGCTCATCTGATTGCAAGTTCCTATCTTGAGAGGACTATGAAATTAAAACCAATACAAGTGCCACAAATAACACACATTGTTAATAAGGACAATTTGTAACTGGGTGAATGGAAGAAATAGTTCTATTCATCACTTCCTCATTTTCCCTAAATCTACAATCTCCTGGTGTCACTACTGAATTAACAGCCCACAATTCCACAGCATTACCTGGGAGACACTGGCCCTTTTTCTTCCTCTTCCTCATAAACACTTTCATTTTCTGTAAATAAATTCAGAGAAGAGGTCACATTAAGCAATTCACACTTCACATATGGCCAAATCACTGTATAGTCATAGCACAAGAACATAACTATTCTCAGTGCAAGAATATGGATTCTGATAGGAATATTCTAGGGTGCCCTAGATTAAGTCTGGTGAGAAGTAGATGACCCTGCTTTCCAGACCCACAGGCCAAAATCTCCCTCTCTGTGTAGACCATAATGCCATATTCCCTGCCTGAGTCAAAGTTAAACAAAATTTTTCCCCCCAAAAATCTCCGAAAACTGGTCAAACAATTTTCTAGGAGTGTTGCTGCAATGCTGACTTATATTACCAGGTAACATGGACATTAAATGTTTAGAGGCATCTACACATAAAACTTGACTGATAGATAAATTAGAACAACTCTTGCTTTAAAAAGAATCTGTGATTTGGGAGGCCAAGACAGGTGAATCATTTGAGGTCATGAATTCAAGACCAGCCTGGCCAATATGGGAAACCCCATCTCTACTAAAAATACAAAAATTAGCCAGATGTGGTGGTGTACACCTGTGGTCCCAGGTACTCAAAAGGCTGAGGCAGGAGAATCACTTGAATTTGGGAGGCGGAGTTTGCGCCAAGCCAAGATGGTGCCACTGCACTCCAGCCTGGGTGACAGAGCAAGACTCCATTGCAAAAAAAAAAAAAAAATCTACGACGCTACCAAGAAACAACATTGGATCAGCCATTGCACTGATGGGGTGGAGAACCAGGATCCAGCCTTGCTTTATGGAAATATATCAGCAAAGTAAAGAAGAAAAGTTTCTGTCCTGATTTCAAGGTGACTGCGCAGCTAAGCAAGCTGACTTACAGGAGATCAAGATTAAAGCTGAGAGCAGTGAAGCCTGGAGAACAATATTTCCAAATACAAAGGCAAGGCTGCCAGCTTCCTTAAAAAGGCATAGGAACTCCGTGGACATTGTTCAGGGACAGATGACTTAATCACAGATGACAAGAAATACTGAATCAAAGCTAGGAGGCCTGACAGATACTTCCTGTGCATCTCCTGCACAGATGACTATGAGATCATCACACTTGCGTAGGGTCCAGTAACTTGATACTGGGGACTGGCAGACAAAGGCATGACATGAGTTGAGAAAGACAAAAAAACTCACTGATACCTGTGTTTAGAATCTGATCGGAGTTCTTTATTCAAACCAATTTGTGTGTATAGAGCCTGTCTTCAGAGTTTATCTTCCTCAGCCTAGACAGAGGTATGAGACACAAGGAATACAGAGGCTACCTGGGATAATTTGTACAGCATCCTCCCATTCATCACGAGAAGATGAGTCAATGACAGTTGAGTCGACTTTGTCTTCCTCAAATGTGATTTTGGTGTTTCTGTGTGGCTTGTTGGAGTCACAAGGGCTGTGGCTATTTGAACAAGGGACGGCACATGCCTCCAGTGAGTCCTCAGGGATTTCCCTTTCTTCAGCCTTCTGCACCTCTCTGATGAGCCAGGTGGGACAGAGATGGCAGAAGATTAAACACAGAGGGATTAGACCCCAGGGAGTCCTAGCTGGTTTTGACAAGAGGCATTAAGAGAGTGGTCCCAGAAAGCAAACAGGAGGTTCCCTTTGAGAGGGAACAGGCAAACCTCTTCTCTCTGCAACAGACCATGGCTGCCATGGGAGCCAGAGAGGAAGAGAGCAACTGGTGTTCATTGCACTGGACAGATAGGAGCTGAGGAGGATGAAGACTCAGCTATCCCTGTACGGTACAGACATGACACTCAGCACACACAGAGAAACACAACACAACGGCTGCTATACCCTGTGTCTAAGCTGGGCTGAATTTCACATACTGTGGCTAAGGGAATGCAGGCCTATCGGGAGAACCCGCTCCCGATGTTTAACGTGGGTTCTTTTCTATTTCCTAAGTGTCTCGGCTGGGTTGAGAAATAAAGGGAAAGAGCACAAGAGAGAGAAATTTAAAGCTGGGTGTCCGGGGGAGACATCACATGTCGGCAGGATCCGTGATGTTCCCCAAACCGTAAAACCAGCAAGTTTTTATTAGCGATTTTCAAAAGGGGAGGGAGTGCACGAATAGGGTATAGGTCACAGAGATCACATACTTCACAAGGTAATAAAATATCACAAAGCAAATGGAGGCAGGGCTAGATCACAGGACCACCAGATGAGGTGAAATTAAAATTGCTAATGAAGTTAGCATTAGCAATTTTTTTTTTTTTTGAGACGGAGTCTCCCTCTGTCCCCCAGGCTGGAGTGCAGTGGCCGGATCTCAGCTCACTGCAAGCTCTGCCTCCCAGGTTTACACCATTCTCCTGCCTCAGCCTCCTGAGTAGCTGGGACTATAGGCACCCGCCACCTCGCCCGGCTAGTTTTTTGTATTTTTTTTTTTTAGTAGAGACGGAGTTTCACCAGGTTAGTCAGGATGGTCTCGATCTCCTGACCTCGTGATCCGCCCATCTCGGCCTCCCAAAGTGCTGGGATTACAGGCTTGAGCCACCGCGCCTGGCCAGTATTAGCAATTTTAATGACGCATTGTCATTGAAAACGTCTTACCAGGAAACAGGGTTTGAGAGCAGATAACCTGTCTGACCACAATTTATTAGGTGGGAATTTTCCTCCACTTAATAAGCCTCGGAGTGCTATAGGAGACCGGGGCTTATTTCATCCCTTTGGCTTCGACCATAAAAGATGGGAGGCCTTAAAAAGGGGCCCCGTCTATAAGCCTACCTTCAGGGCGCATTCTCTTTCTCAGGGATGTTCCTTACTGAGAAAAAGAATTCAGCGATATTTCTCCTATTTGCTTATGAAAGAGGAGAAATATAGCTCTGTTCCATCTGGCTCACCGGCAGCCAGTTCAAAGTTACCTCTCTTGTTCCCTGAACATTGCTGTTATTCTGTTCTTTTTTTAAGATGCCCAGATTTCATATTGTTCAAACACACATGCTCCACAAAAAATTTGTGCAGTTGATACAATCACAGAGTCCTGAGGTGACATTCATCCTCCTCATCTTACAAAGATGACAGGATTAAGAGATTAAAGTAAAGACAGGCATAGAAAAACACAAGGGTACTGACTGGGGAAGTGATAAGTGTGCATGAAATCTTCACAATTTATGTTCAATGATTACAGTAAAGACAGGTGTAAGATTATAAAAGTATTAATTTGGGGAACTAATAAATGTCCATGAAATCTTCACAATCTATGTTCTTCTGCCATGGCTTCAGCCGGTCCCTCCGTTCAGGGTCCCTGACTTCCCGCAACACAGGCCTTTGGCCTATCATAGCTGCCAGAGAGGGCGTGCCTCCTAGACCTTTTTCATAGGTTACAACCCATTACTTACTCCTGAGTATTCAGTGTTACCTGGGGGCACATGATTCCTGTACTTTTTCAGCCTCCTCAACTTTAACATCTTCATCCTCATCTTCATCATTTTCTGTAAATATAGAAGCGTTCCTTCAGATATTTCCCACTTTACACTCTGCAAGCACAGTCAGCCCAATGTGCACAGAAACATGAACATCTAGGTATGAGTCATCATCGTTCAACTGAAATCTCTCATGTTTTATCTTTAACAAAATGCCCTGGCATGGTTTACAGATCCATCAGGCAATGCATTTCTGATCTGGAGGGCCACCATCAAGATGTGGCCAAATATGAAAAGACCTTTTGCTCCCCATATCACTGGAGGCTTGTGCAGCCTCTCTCCGGCCTTTGGCAGCTGTCTTCCCCATCCTGCCACAGATCTGATTCCCAGGCACAGGCTTGGTGTCCTGTCATAGTTCGCATTTCAAACCTAATTCTTTCTCTTAGGAGAGGACAAACTTGTCCCACAGTCCTCTATGCATCAGGAGACTGCACAGGCCCCCCATGTGGCTTCTGCTGTGTTATTCAGGGACATTCTCTCCATGGGGAGTGCTCCAGTCTGAAGCACTTCCTACCACCAAATGCCCCCACATCAACTGCCTTCTCCAACACCACACAGTGAGGGGCTTCATCTCATTTTGAAAAGCAGTCGTTAAGTGTTCCCACATTTGGATGCTTCAGACCCTTGCGAGAGACAATTTGCCTGCCTTTGCAGATGGAGACAGAGAAACTCAGGAAGGACAAATCACTCACTGACAGTTACTAAGAACATTGCTGAAGAGACAGCCTGGGAACCTTCGTTCTTAGTCCAGAGCTCTTTTCACTCTAACAAGCGCTCTCCTGTCACGGCCTCCTTCTTGTCCTTTAAAACCAGACTGATGCTGCCTCTTGCTCCAAAGACCACCTTCCATCCAGCAAGGAGGGACATTTGCAATACTGTGACCTCCAACCCCATGGGTTTCCCATCTCTGTTCTTACCCAGGAAGTCCTGGTCATGTCATAGCCACATACGTTTAGTGGAAAAAACACCACCGATACAACTGTCATTATGAAAGTATGCAGGTCTGGAGTCTCTCACAAGCCTGGGGTTTTGGGTCATCAGGGCCTATGGCCACCATACCTGGGCTGAGCTTTTGGACAAGGTGCTGTGCCAGCCTACACCCTTCAGCCAGCTGTTCTTGGAGGTCCTGCCCTGGGACTTGTCTGGCTCATCCGGAGCGAGGAGGGCCTGGAGATGCTGATTTGATGAGCAGGAGGCATCTCTCCCTTCCCATAACTTCTCCCTTAACTGGGTCAGCTCTCATTCCTGAGAGTGAACCAGGACTTTATATTGCCTAAGGTGAGACAGTAGAGAAAATTTAACAGTGGAAAGGGATGAGTGGTCAGTTCTAATATTGCAACAGAGATTTCTGAGACAATGTCCTCAAGGAGACCTCCAAGCAGAAGGTCAGCACATGTTTAAAGGAATGTCTGTGGCCAAGAGAAGAATACAAAATGGTTTACAGCCTTCCTCTATATCAGAGAGGCCTCCTGTAAGATCCTCGATGATGTTCCATTAGTCTTTCTCTTCTGTAAACAAAAGTAGGTGTCTTCCTAATTCCGCTTCAAAAAGACATCCTTTCAGTTCCTCACTCTGGCCATGGACAATTCCATGTAAAAATACACACAGTGCATCTTGCAGCGACTAGATACAAAGCCATGTACAGAAATGAGGCCAGGTGCAGACGGGGCGAATTGAAAAGATGAAACAAGAAAATAATGACAGGGTCGAGAAGGCAACATTGATTGAGTGAAAGAATGAGAAGCTGCAGTCAGTCAGGAGCTGATTCTCACTAAGGGTAAGTGGGGTGGTGAAGGCACACCATTTTGAGTATACTGAATGCTGCTGGGTGGTTCCCACTCCTTTGGTTAATTTTGTGTTATGCAAATTTCACCTCAACAATTACTTGTTTGAGAAAAAGAAAACAAGGCTCTGAGAAACAACTGCAACCCATAACTTACTATTATCCTTGTTCTCTGTTGGATAAATATTTGTGTGTCGTGAGCCTGCCATGGCAATTCCTGCCCTTCCCCTAGCCCAGCTTAGCTCTTACTTTTTCCCGCTGAGCTGCTGTATTTCAGAGATTTACACACCTGCCCACCTGCCTACCCCCACGGGATCCCCTCACCTGAGCTCCTTAGCCTGCCTGAGCTGCTCTGCAACCTTCTCCTCCTTGAACTGAAGCTCATCCCTCAGCATAGATTTTATGAGGTCTTTGCACTCTTCATACTCTGAGAAAAGACAGACATGCCTGCTTCAGTGTAAGGCTGGACATGCTGCTGTGGTCACTGCCTACAGGGCAGGAGTCAGGTCCATCCCAAGGACAAAACTGTCCCCAGTACCAGGCTCTAGGAAGGGATTTCCACATCTTTACTCTTCAGTCTCCTGACTTTCTAGCATCTGTTTCTCCAAAATTTAGAGACGAAGAAAGAGAAACTCAAGAGCACATCAAGGAATTTGACCAGATGATTCAACCACAATGAAGTGGAGTCAGAATTCACAGCCCCTGAGGTCTGACTCTGAATGTGGAGCCACTTGTCCAAGCCTTGCAGCCTCTCCTCTAAAACACTGCACTGGGGCATGAAGTAGTGATTTCTTGTATGGTCGGAAAGGCCCCTAGGACTATGGGACAGATGGTTTCCCTTTTACCGGGAATTTCAAAGAAAAATACGTCAAAGATTTTTTAAATATTTGATTTTTAAATCATAATCGTATCTGAAGCATAAAGTATGAGACATAAGGCCATGAGGGAAATATGTCCAAATACTAATAAAGCTTGTGTTAATTTAGAAACAGTAGAATAAAGAACTAATAGATAGTGTTTACTCTGTGCCAATAAATGTTCTAGGAGATTGACAAGAAATAGCTCATGTAATTCACTGCAGCAATTTACAGAGGTAGGTATTATTGTAGTATTGTATGAACAGATGAGGAAACTGAGGGACAGACAAGACAAGCAACTTGGATGGAGCCCAGGAGACAGGCCCAGGGTCCCTGCTCTGCACACTGTACTGCTACTTCCACACATTCTTGGGTGTGATCTTTCTTCCTCTTTAGGAACAAGAGCCTGTGCCCTAGGACTTCCCTCTTACCAGAGTACTCTCTGCTGTTTATTTTTTTATTTTTGTTTGTTTGTTTGTTTATTTTTGACCAGTCTTGCCCTGTCACCCAGGCTAGAATGTAATGGCACAATCTTGACTCACTGCAACCTCTGCCTCCTGGGTTCAAAGGATTCTCCTGCCTCAGTCTCCCGAGTAGTGGGGATTACAGGCACCTGCCACCATGCCCAGCTAATTTTTGTATTTTTAGTAGAGATGGGGTTTCTCCATGTTGCCCAGGCTGATCTCAAACTCCTGACCTCGTGATCTGCCCACTTCGGCCTTCCAAAGTGCTGGGATTACAAGAGTGAGCAACTGTGCACGGCCCCCACTCCCTCCTCTTGATTCTGTCACTTATAGATACCACAGGTTCTATTAGGAGCAGAGTCTTCTTGAAGCTCCTCAGAGCAGGTACTGGGCACTATCACCAAGTTTCCCTCAGGGTCACTAGAACAGAGCTTTGCCTATAGGGCCTCAACAGAAGCTTGAACTGAATAAAAGTTCACTAGTCCCAGACATTTAGAACAGACTAGACGTTATTTGTCTGCAGGATTTTGTATGGTACAGACAGTAGTCTTGAAAACATGATTTAGCCTCTTGGAGAAAACAGGTCGTTCTGTGCCTGTGACAGAAATCAACTGAGATTTTAATTCTAGTCCCACCCCCACCTAACTGTAAGTATGGAAAGTTGTTAAATACTTTGGTACCTCTGTCTTCCAACTTTAACAAAATGCTAAAACACCCATTTCTATTTTCCTAGAAGTACGGGAGGGATGAAATTATTTTTGATGGAGAGTGCATTTAGTTTCTCAGAGAGAAGACAGGACATCATTCATCACTTTCGTGATGGTGAGCCTATTGAACTTACGGTATGTGCTCTGCTGGTTGGCCAGGAAGTAGGCCACTTGAGTTATAAGAAATTTCTCTTTGATATTTCTGAACTGCTGTTTGTTCTCTGCCAGCTGGGGATGCAAATTCTCACTGATTTCTAGGATGTTCATCTCTGCCTTCTCACTGGACCAAGGGCCAGCAGATACCACCATGCTGACATTTGTTGCAGAAAAGGTGGAGCTAGGGACTGGGGAGAATAAACACAAACACAGGATGGGTTAAAAACTGGTGAAATCAAATAGGTTTAATTAGGACTGAGGGATGTCAGTAACTAAAATTCTTAATTTACTGTTGAGAAAAACATGAACACTCCCCACAGCACTTTAGGATCCTTAACCACAAAACCAAGGTTTGAGGTGCCTGAGCTCAGAGCTGAAGGCACTGCCAGTCACTCAGTCTCTGACAAGAGTGAGGATGATTGTGGCCAGCATGCCAGGTCTGCAGTTGCAATAACAGAATTAGAAGGTGGGGGTGTCATGGAATCTTAGGATCCCTGCATTCCAATTGCCCAGGCTTTGCTGAAACACAGGCACCCTGGTCTCACCTGAGGGTAACCACCAATGGGGATCATTCCTTCAGCATTCACTCTCAGTATTCATGTACCCTTGTGACAATGCCACCGACCCATCTCTTTCCCAATACATCTAAGCATATTCCTCACTGTTTATCTCTTGTCTGTACAACATCATCAAGGCAGAAACATTTCCCAACAGGTTATATGAATTCCTTATATACTCTAGGTACTAGACTCCTGTCAAATATATAATTTGGAAATAGTTCTCCCATTATATGGATTATCTTTTCACTTCCTTGACAGTGTCCTTTGAAGCATATAAGATTTTTATTTTAATGAAGTCCATTTATCTATTTTTGGGTTGTTTGTGCCTACCTAAAAAATGTCTAATCCAAAGTCACAAAGATTTGTACCTATGTTTTTTCTTCAAGACATTGTTTTTTGAATGAGAACTTTCCTGGGTTTTAGTGGAGGGTGGACATTGTTTATTTATGCCTCCTGTCCATTACCGATGTTTGTCCTGATTGTTATTCATATGCTCACCACCCCTCCATGGAGCACCCCATGGCCTGTAACAGAGCTCTGGGGACCGATATCCTTCCACTGACTTTGGCGCTGGTGAGAGCCCTGGTCATGTGGCTCAGCTTGGCCTTAACCCAACCCAATTGCACATATTCCTCAGGGCCTTCAGAGTTGAAGTTGAGAGCCTCTCTGAGAACGCTTGCCAGCCCATGCTGTTCTAAGGCTGGAGCAAACTTCCTCCGTCTATTCCGGACAGAGGGGACTGCAGGGGTTGGACTCAGTCAAGACATCTCTGGTGTTAGAAAGTAGACCCGTTTCAGGGTTTGGGGAAGATTGTTCAATATGAACTAGGTCCTCTCTAATTATTTTTACCGTATGTGTGACTTCTTTCTAGAAACAAAGGAAAAATATTTATGTTAGAACATTTTGTCTATTCTTTGTCACTTGTTGTTTGTCTACAATTTTAACATTATCCACGTTAAAGGAGAGCTCAGTGTAAATATATTCTTAAAAATTATGGTTCATGTCCACTGCCATGCAATCATATTTAAATCCATGAACAATCCTGTTACTTAGGTATTATCCTGCTCCTGATGAGAAAACAAACTCAGAAAAATTGCAAAATTTCCATAGGTCACAAAACTAGTGACGAGAGGAAAAAGAATTAGAAACCAGTTCCTTTTGGCCTTCAAAGCTAACCTTGTACCATTAGATCAAACTGATTTACATACTTTTGCTGGAATTAGTCTCAGAGTTTGTGGTTCTCACTTGATTTTCCCAAGGAAACAGTGTGCCACTTTAATATCATTTCAAACTTTGAAATTTAAAACTTTTTATTATACTTTTTTTAAAAAATTATACTTTTTTGTCTTTGTTCTAGTCCATTGCTTTTGGTTTTTTCTCAATGGATCCCTCTTATTTATATGCTAAATATTTGCTACCTATTTTCTGTCAATTTTCACTTTTTTTTTTTTTTTTTTTTGAGACAGAGTTTTGCTCTTGTTGCTCATGCTGGAGTGCAATGGCACAATCTTGGCTCACCGCAACCTCTGCCTCCCAAGTTCAAGGGAGTCTCCTGCCTCAGCCTCCCGAGTAGCTGGAATTACAGGCATGCACCACCATGCCCGGCTAATCTTTTGTATTTTTAGTAGAGACGGTTTCTCCATGTTGTTCAGGCTGATCTCGAACTCCCGACCTCAGGTGATCTGCCCACCTCAGCCTCCCAAAGTGCTGGGATTACAGGCGTGAGCCACCACGCCTGGCCAATTTTCACATTTTTGAGTGTTTGTTATCTCTCTCTTTGTTGTATGCTAACAGTTCTTCACTGAGGTATAATTTGCAGAGAGTATACTGCAAAAAACCTAAAGGTACAGCTTAATAAATTTTAGTATAACTATACATTGTATAATAACACCCAGTTAAAGACAGAGAACATTTTCCCCCATGCCACAAAGTTCTGATGTGGTCCTTGCCAGTCAATACTCATCCCCCATATGAAGAATATATTCTGAATGTTGTCACTGCCTTAGTCCTTTTGTGTTGCTGGAAAAGAATACCAGAGGCTGGGTAATTTATAAAGAAAAGAGATGCATTTTGCTCATAGTCCTGCAGGCTGCGCAAGAAGCATGGCACCAGCATCTGCTCCTAATGAGGGCCTGAGACTGCTTCCACTTGCAGCAGAGGTGAAAAGGAACCAGTGTGTGCAGAGATTATACGGTGAGAGAGGAAGCAAAAGAGAGTAAAGGTGAGAGGCACTTTTTAATAACTAGATCCTATAGGAACTGAGAGTGAGAATTCACTCACTACCTTCTCCCAGGGTGGGGTTTAATCTATTCATGAGGGATCCACTCCAATGACCCAAACACCTCCCATTAACCCCCTCCTCCAACACTGGGGACCACGTTTAAACATGTGATTTGGAGGGGACCAATATTTAAACTATAGCAGCCACCATAGATTAATTTTGCTTATTCATGTGCTTCATAAAAATGGAATCATTTTGGTCAGGCCTGGTGGCTCACACCTGTAATCCCAAGACTTTGAGAGGCTGAGGTGGGCAGACCACCTGAGGTCAGGAGTTCAAGACCAGCCTGTCCAAATGGCAAAACCCTGTCTCTACTGAAAATACAAAAATTAGCCACACGTGATGGCAGGTACCTGTAATCCCAGCTACTTGGGAGGCTGAGGCAGGGAAAATTTCTTGAACCTGGGAGGCAGAGCTGAGATTGTGCCACTGCACTCCAGTCTGAGGGACAGAGTGAGACTACGTCTCAAAAAAATAAAAAAAAGTAATCATTTAGTATGTTCTCTTGTTTTGACTTCTCTTACTCAGGTGGTTATATATGCCACTAATTTGTCTGATTGTGTTTTTCCCTTGTTTCATTTTGTTTTGGCCAAGTAATAGCCTATTGATTGTATGATTATCACACAATTTGATATCCATTTTTCTGATGGGAAGCAGGTTTACTTGTTGGCTACTGTGCATAAGTAACTATGAATATTCTCATACAATTATTTCCGTGAAGATACATACTTATTTTCCTGGATATGTATAGCTAGGGATGGAGTTGCTTGGTGAATGGGTAGAAAATGGACACAGAGTTTTGCAAAGTAACTGTATTATTTTACATTTCTATGAAAGATGTAGGCCATTTTCAGTTGCTCTACATTCCCACACACTTAATATTTTCAGTCTTTTAAATTATAGCCATTCTACCAGGTGTCTAGTGACATCCTATTTTGGTTTTCTCATGCCTAATGTTCATTTAGATACCTTCTTATGGAAAATATCTTCTCAAATTTTTATGTTCATTGATATACTGGGGTGTCTGTCATTTTCTTTGTAATCTATAGGAGTTCTTTATATATTTTGAATGAGTCCATTTATATATACATATTTTTTGCTATATTATATAGCAAATAATTATTCCTGGTCTACAGATAGCTTTTAAGTTATTAAACAACAACATAATAAGGAGAAGGTTTTTAAAAATGAAGTGCAATTAAAATGGTTCAGGTCAGACCGTGGCTCATGTCTGTAATCCTAGCACTTTGGGAGGCCAAGGCAGGTGGATCACTTGAGGTCAAGAGTTAGAGACCAACCTGGCCAACATGGAGAAACCTTGTCTCTACTTAAAGTACAAAAATTAGCCAGGCATGGTGGCGGGTACCTGTAATCCCAGCTATTCAGGAGGCTGAGGCAGGAGAATCACTTGAACCCCGGAGATGGAGGTTGTAGTGAGCTGAGATCACGCCATTGCATTCCAGCCTGAGGAACAGAGCAAAAACTCCATCTCAAAAATAAATAAATAAATAAATAAAGATGGTTCATTACTTAACTCCACATATTATGATGTGAAAATATATCATCTTGATTTTAATAGCAGATTTTTAAAAATTCCTTTTCTTGTACTTACCAGACAAGGTTTGGTAGCAAATACCAGTCACGGGCACAGATGAACCAATTCAAGGAGAGTCATAAACAGGATCACTATTATGTTCCCCCAAAAACCATCCCTAGAATGCAATCTCTTCTCTACTTGTCACAAAATGAACACAATAGTCCACTATATAAAGTCCCAAACACATGAAAATGTAGATATAATGAAGTCTGCTTTCCAAATATTTATTCTACTTAGACCCAGTCATGGGGACCAGGGATTAGGAAATGACTACAATGAGGTTCAAGGGAATTTGGGGAAGAGACAAAATGTGCTAAAGTAGAACTCTGCTGATGGCTGCACAATTCTATAAATCAATTCTATAAATCATTGAGTTGTACACTGACAATAGGTGACTTTTATAACAAGTCATTCTTTAAACGAACTTTTGGGTTTCTATTCCAACACGGAAAGAGTTAGGCAGTCATCACTTGTCCTCACAGCTAGAAAAAAAGCTGAATGAACTGAAAGTCAACCCTTCTAGGGTGGACCAGAGAATTGAGGTCACAGGGAAAATGGCCTCCCTAAAAATGAGAAAGACAGGCTAACACACAAGGAGTCACAGCTCACAGGAAGAGAAGCTACCGGGGACAGCAAGTGCAAGGAGCACTTAAACGGTATTGATGGATTACTAGAAGCTGAGGGTGGCCTGGCTAGAGCATTAAAAACTCCTTGAAAACCAGACTAAGGGGGAATCTCACATATTTCCAAGTTTTACTACAATGATCT